ACAGACGTTATCTCAGAGTAAAGGGCTGGGAAAAGATCTTCCAATCAAACGGCCCCAAGAAACAAGCAGGCGTAGCAATCCTAATATCTAACAAATTAGACTTCAAATTAAAATCAATCAAAAGAGATGAAGAAGGGCACTTCATATTCATCAAAGGAAAAATACATCCAGACGAAGTCTCGATTTTAAACATCTATGCCCCAAATACAAAGGCACCTACATTCGTGAAAGAAACATTTCTAAAGCTCAAAATACACATAAAATCTCACACACTAATAGTAGGAGACTTCAACACTCCGCTCTCACCGCTAGACAGGACCTCCAGACAGAAACTTAACAAAGAAACAAAAGAACTAATAGAAGTTATGACCCAACAGGGTTTAACAGACATCTATAGAACATTCCACCCAAATACAAAGGGATATACCTTCTTCTAGATCAAATATTTAAAGCCTTTTTGTTTCTCCTCCTCTCAGAATTTTGAAGCATTTACCTAGAGGTTCTCTAAATTTAAGGTAAATGTTTTCCATTTTTAAAAATAATGCCAGCAGGATTTTGATAAATTTTGTTTAATAACTATTCAGAGTATTAAACAACATCTACATTGTCTTTCCATTGATATCTCATGTCTTCTGTCTTCATGGCAACTGTCAGTGTTAATATATTTTCAAATCAGCTCTGTGTCTGATCCTTCTCATAATTTTTGAGCTCCTTGTGATTTTGAACAAATTTGTGAATTTTAAGATTTTTCTGTCAATATATTAAATACATGCAACCTTTGTTTAGAATCTTGCAATCATCCTTTAAAATTTCTGCATCTTTTATTTTTCATGCATGAAAACTTCCTGAGGATGTCGGGATTGATGACACAGAGACCAGTCGGTTGCAGTAAGAAATCTTTATGCTCCCCAAGAAAGCTCAGGAGAAATTCCCAAGAAAGTGCTTCCCTCTAGAAAAGCTTCTGCCCTACATACCCCCATACACGCACACACACCTATCCCTCTTCCTCCTCCTAGCTGGTGGTTAAATCCCTGACACCAGAATCGGCAGCAGTAGGGGGCAGGAAGAGGTGGCTAGCCTTTGGAATGATCAAAGTCAGGGTGTTTCAGTCAGCAAGCCCTTATCAGGAACTTATATCTCCGGTAAACATTTCTTAGGTCACTGGATTGTTTTCAGTAAACATTGTCTGACAGCTGCCTGCTCCCAGGCTGATGGAGGAGTGGGTTTCCGGCCATAATCTGTTGTGACCAAAGTACAATAGACTCCGAATAGTTTAGAAAGTATGTTTGATTAAAACCAAATTGTAATTTTATCTATCTCCATATATTTGCTGGAAAGTACATGTCCTGTGTATGCCTGTAAGTTGCAGAACTGGATCTCATGGGTCTGAGATTAACTTGTGTTTTATAGTGCCATGAGTGTACTGGGAATCAAACTGCATTTTCAATCACTTTATGAAATTACAGATGGCAAACTGGAGACAAATTTTTCAAATTCAGTGATTGTGGCAAATCTTTTATCTATTATTTAGGTCTTAGAGAATACCCAAAAATTCATGGAGGAGAGAGACCTAAGGATATAAGCAACGTAGTATGTCTTCCTATACATTGTCTTTGAAAGAGTAACAAAGCAACAGTTCTAGAAACCTCTTGTTCTTTAAAAATTGCTATGCCTGATCTATATCACAAACATGTATCAATTTCATTAATTCACTTTTACCCAAGAAATAATTTTGTGAAGCAGTGCATGGTAATTAGGTAATTTTCTATTACAGGGTCAGTTATCATTCAAGGATGTCTGTGGACCTCTAACAGGAGGAATGGGAATGTCTAGACTGTGCCCAGTGGGTTTGTACATGGATGCGATGATGGAGAATTACAACCTTCTGTTTGTTGTGGGAAAGTGTTCTCTTCTCATAGCATTCCTTTTTCATCTTTAATTTCCTCACTTTGCGTATCTGTAAAATCTCTGAAACTAGAAAATCCCAGAAATGAGGGAAAATTTGGTTACCTATACACCTTTTTATTTTTTATTTATTTTTTGTTTATTCCAGACAGGGTTTCTTTGTATTGTTTTGGAAGCTGTCCTGGAACTCACTCTGTAGTCCAGGCTGGCCTCGAACTCACAGAGATCCACCTGCCTCTGCCTCCCGAGTGCTGGCATTAAAGGCGTGTGCCACCAACGCCTGGCCCAATACAACTTTTTAATGGTGCTTCATTTAAATTTTCTGTGTTCCCTTGAAGGATAGCAAAAGCTATCGGTAATAGAAAGTCAGAAATATGTGGCTGAAGCTGCCTGATTTAGCTGCTTCCTGGGACTGGAACATGGACCCCTTGTTCAATCCTGCCCCGCCACCTTTTTGTCCACACTAAATAACCTTGGCTGTTCTGAAACTTGTTCTGAAGCTCAGACTGGTTGTGTCTTTATTGTGCTGAGGCTTACATGCCATTTTTGTGTAATTTAGAGACAATTCTGTCTCTGTGTTAATCCTTTGAACTGGTTTTTAATTTTTAATTTTTTTGCAAATGTTTGTAAGGGCTCACGTGATTTAGATGTCTCAGTAAAAGCCTGATTTGTGTCATGATTTTTGGCATTTTCTTGTGTTTTGTGAAGCATTCTCCTTGTGGTATAGTATTCTGCTTGTTTCAGGGAAAGCAGAAATCAGTGCAAGAGGAAATTATTACTGTTTTAGTTTCAGCTCTGCTTAATGTCTCCTTAAAATAACATACAAGGTTGAGTTGCTTACTTCTTCTAGAATATCATCTTTTTTAATCCCGATTTCTTTTTGTAGGGCTGGTAACCCTGCTCATACTTCCTGCTGCGCTTCCTGGGCAGCCTGTATCCAAGAATATGGTGAGGTGGTCGGGATAGATGACACAGAGACAAGTCAGGTGCGTTAAGGAAACTTTATGCTCCCCAAATCGGAGAAATTCCCAAGAAAAACGCTTCCCTTCAGAAAGACTTCTGCCTCCATACACACACAAATCTCCAACAGACCTCTCACACACCCCTCTCCTCTTTCCTCCTGGCTGGTGGTTAAATCTCTGGCACCAGAATCGGGAAGACCAGGGAGTAGCTAGCCATTGGGAAGATCAATGTCAGGGTGTTTCAGTGACCAAGCCCTTATCATGCCCTTATCAGGAATTTATGGCACTGAATTGTTTTCAGTAAACATGTTTTCAGTAAACATTTCCTTGCAGCTGCCTGCTCCCAGGCTGATCAAGGAGTGGGTTTCCAGCCAGGGTCTGTGAACCCCACGTTTCGTCCTTTTCTATTTTCTTATGAGGCACTCCTGTCTTAGGTCAAATGGGGTGGCCCCCCATCCCATCAATAAGGTACCCAACTACCCCTGTCTTAACCGGGGGGGGGGTGCCTCTACCCCATAAGTTGCCCATCATCAGAGAAACCTCATCTTAGAATCATCTGTTATCAGGCTTTATGGCTATCAGGATTGCCATGGGCTAAGGCACGTTTGAACTCAGCATGAAGCCAGAATGCCTACTGCTACTGTCACCATTCCTACGACGCCCACTGACATAGCACCTCTCTGTCATCTACCCATTCCCCTTTCTGGGCCATAGCATTCTACCACCAGCCTTTCTTTGCTACAAGGGTGATTTACAGTCACAATTTGATGGCCAAAACAGTGATAAAGTTTACAATCATTCCAAGATCTACTCAGGAAAGCATTTAGAAAGTCCACTTGCACAGATACATTGAGTACAATCATTCATGTTACACATGTAGCAGTATAACAAATATGAACAAGACGCTTGATGCACTATTTACAGAGTACCAATTTGTTCCTGTCGTGATGCAGTTTGCTGATTTAATGTGAGTAGCCTCAGCTAGATATGTAACTTGAGTCAAAGTCTTTTCGACGCAATAGGACAAATTGCATTTCTCCAGAAAAACACACTGGCATAGGTGCGATTCCAGAAACAAGAACCACCAAGTCTGATACTTCAAGTGACCATGTCCTGTTCAAATACTGAAAAGAGTCTTTTGCCACTCATCACAGTCCATACCAATGTCCAAATGTTTTAAATGGGTCCTTTTTTCCTCCCAAAGGAAAAACTGGCACAATGAATTCTGTTGTTTTAAGGTGTGTCAAGGGCAAACTGTTAATCTTCTTTTTTTTTTTGGCTTCGGGATGAAAACTCACGGGTTCCAAGGTTGATGTAGCAGGCCTGATGAGAAACTGGAAATCTCGAACCGGCTGTCTTATTTCTTTCTCTGGATGTAGATTTGATGACATCAAGGGTCAGGAACACTGATTTAGGAGATCTCGAACTGGCTTGGGCAGGCTCCCACTGTCTCAAGTCCAGTTTTTTCTGCTCCATGCATCTTACCAAATGTTGTAACAGCTGCCAAAGCTTTATTCTCTTCCTGCAAGAAAACACAAACATGCCCTCGACCCCAAATTAGGGTCTTCTCCACTGTCTAGTGTATGGATGTCTCCATATGACCTGAGTAACAGGTATTCAAGTTCCATTATGCAAGTATCTGTCTGAAGCAGATTGCTCACTGGCATTTACATTTTAAAAATGTTTTAAATGAGAAGTGGATTATTCAATGAATCATGTGGGGACTGGGGATATTACTTCCCCTTTTTAAAATTTTTTTAAAATTTTGTTTGAACTGTTGAAGTTGGACCATAACAGTAGAAGGATTTGTCTACCCTCCTTAGTCAACTAACTAGGTGAATTGGGATCAGTATTTAAATTATTAGTAGATGTCCTTTAAAAGGGACATAACCATTAAGTACTTTTGAGAATCATTTAAGGATTGTAAACTATACCATGTTCCAAATAATTTTTGAAAATTATCTGAAGTCTGTGAGTGATTTTTTTTTCTAACAGGGAGCCCTCACTAGCCGACAAGGCCTCATTTGCATCTGAACTGTCAAGGCCTAATTTGCATCTACACAGACACCTTTGGGGGTGGGGCCTGCCAAAGCTGCAGGGCAGTTTCCTGAAAAAACCTCTTTTTTTTTTTAATTGACTGGCTCTGATGGCTTAACCCTTGACTTTTTTTGTTAAGATATTAACCGACTGTCTGGATGATTCTTTTGGCTATATCTAAATCGATTTAGGTTGTTTTTAACTGTTTGAAGGGATTTAGGTATCCCTTTAATCATCTCCAAGGCAATTAGAACAGTTATTAGAAAATTAGAAAATAATTGTAACAAGAATTTAGCATAGACAGCTATCAATAATGATTACTCCTTTATTTTTGAAACTAGAATATACAGTGTTATATAATATCACAAGCTCCCACCAGAATGAAGACATGGCTCAGATGTAAGAGCCCCATTCTGTACCTATAGAGAAACCTAATTTGATTCTCTATATACACATGACAATAACTACAATGTATGACTTCAGTGCCCATGGTTTTGTGCTGACCTCAGAGAAACAGGGGCATAATGCATCATGAAGTTTACATAAAAATGTGAACATGACACTGACCTGGGGAGCATTTACCACAGAAGCATTCATTGTTCTTGTGGCTCTTCTCTGAGTGTCTTAGGAGAAAACTTGAGCTCTTGTTGAAATTTTACATCTAGATGTCAAAAATAGGAGGAAACACTATAAAATCAAAATATATACTCTCCAAAAAGTATTTCCTTCAAATATAAGGATGCAAAGTGCTAAAGGTGAAGGAATTTTTCAAAAAAGATTTCTTGTGAAGAGAGTTGGACATGGTGACGGTAGTTAATACAAAAGTTGATTCTATAAAATTGCAAAACAAAGAGTATTACCACATGACCAAATGGTACATTTCCAGAAAGCTATGTGATCAAGATGAATGCATTTCCTGAAAATACTTTTCAAATCTACGAAACCCTCCATGACAGAATTGTTGGAGGCAAAGAGACAATGTTCCAGAGAAGATTCAACATCTGCATTAAGAATGAAGACTAGCACAGAAAACCAATAATGACTAGCAGGCTTGCAGAGAATCATTCATATAGCAGAAAACACCCAGTCTTCTCAACCTTCAATCACCATGCTATACTGTGGCATTTTTTTAGGAATACAACAAATCTTTAAACCTACTAAATATCAATGTTTAAAAGTATCTTCTCCTAGAAGCTTGAATGCTAACAGCATCAGTAGACAGAAAAGAGGAAGAAAAAAAAAGACATAGGAATACTACCTAACTCAAACCATGATAGCATGTTTTCATTCAAACTTGTGAGAATACATGAAATGATGTTTATGTGCTGTGAAGATTCAAAGAATTTATACCAAGATCTTTTTTGTTTGTTTGTTTTTGCACAAGGAAAAGACATTTTGTGAAAATCACCTAGAACTTCCCATGGAGCATAAATGAAAGGTACTTAATTCTTTCCAATAGGATAAACATGGGGAGAAAATATCAAGGGAAATCTGTCTTTGACTGAGGATTTCACTTTAACCGTGATATGTGAGACCATTTCACATACAGCTCAAACACATGAATAGTCATTTTCCCAGGAACCCTGAGGAGCGAGGGAAACTGCAAGAAACTATTCTCACCCCCAGAACCCTCACTGCTGCAATTCTCCAGCAGGAGATCTCGGTAAATGCACTGTGAGTATGGCTGAGGTATTCCCACTCCTTCTCCAAGAAATCCACAGTCACAGCATTGATATACGCACAATAATCCCTGACATAAAATGAGTCTGGTCGTGTATAAATGGACAGGGAAGGTTTCTTCAACAAAAAGGAACATTTTCTGATAAAGGTGACTATATATATACATATATATATATATGCCTTATAATTTTCTTTACATCTAATCCGAGTTTGGTAACTTTAAAATTGTGTGCCATGAAATATTCTAACAGCATATAAGTTGGAATTGTATGTATCTAACAACACAGTAAATGGTGACATGTTTCTGAATGCAGTATTTACATCTTAGACTGAGTATGATGATGACAGAAAATTATTGGAATGTAAAATTTCAATGTTTATAACCATGTGTGCAACTATATGAAATATATTTTGTTTAATCATATCTGCATTGGTTCTTAGTGTTATTATTATCTACAAAGCTCTCTCAGGATGCCCAGTCTCAGAGACAAAGGACACTGTCTGGAAGAGGCAAGTGGTAAAACAGGGGTTTCAGAAAGCATGGATGTATTTAAATTACATGAGCCCTGGAATTGCCACCATAACAAACATATCCTGTTTGCAAACAACAGCCAATGCAAATGCTTTTTGAGGTCATTTTAAGAATTATTTTATGACAGAATCATCTGGGCGCCATAAGTGAGAAAGAAAAAAGTGTTAACACAGAGGAATTCCCAGTTCATGGTATCTGAAACCTATCATCCATGGTAACATATCAACGACAGAATATCAAAAGCTGTGTCTGCAATGGTAAGCAGGAAGGTGGCCGGTTCTTGGCCCCTAAGAGCTCACTCCATGAGCAACAGGACTAGGGTGAGCACGTGCCTGGGGAGGAGGATGAGCAGAAAAGAAGACCGTCTGGAAGCAAGGACAGGAGAGAGGAGACCCCCCCAGACAGTTAACCGGCCAGAGAGCAAACGAGGATCTAGAGAGAGAGAACCGAGACAACCGACACTTTTAAGGGGCAGGTGTGGTGCACGGGGAGGCACCTGTCTCATGGGGATGGAAAGAATGGCACCTGGCCATAGGCGACGACCTGAGCCACTGCCTTCAAAGCCAGAGGCGCCAGCGGAACTGATGGTGTCCTTGTGAGCAGCTTAGAGGGCACAGCCCTGTCCTCTCCCTCCGAGGTCACAGCACTGGTCTCCTCTGACCTGGGAGGTTCCAGGGGGGCCAGTCTATGGTTCCCACCACTGAGCTCCTGATGCTGACTTTCCTAGGCCGCCCCACATGCACACTGCAGGTTCTTCCTCACCTGGTTCCCTCCACGTGTAAACCACAGACCTACAGAAAATGGAAGAATTTCCCCTGAAGGCAGGGCAGTTCCTTGGAGAGGCTCCTCATGGCCATGCCCACTAAAACTGGCTTCTGGTTCTGAGTACTGTAAACCAGCCCTCTGCTGGCTCATTTACACAATATCTTTCATCAGGCACGCTTGCTGCACAGGCATGCAAGCTGCCCAAGCAACAAACACATCAAATCAAATCAAAACAAAGGAAACCGAACAAAACTCCAGAATCTAATATCGCACTGTCTGCTGGTGCCACTTTAATCTCAACACTCAACATGCACAGAAATGTTTACCTTTTTTCCTTCTAACCAGGTCTACATAGCGAGTTTCTGAGGAGCAAAAAGTCCAACTCTATAATGAGCCCTCCACTTTAAAAAAACAACACCAAAAAGAAATGGTTACGAATGCTGTTCAGAAAACAGCAAGGCCTAGGGTCAGCAAGCAGGTCTATGCTCCCCACCCCACTCACCAAGCAACTGAGAGTCAGCTGATAACACTCTCCTAATCAACCTTTGTGCACCCACAGTGGGACCAATCAGAGTAGTGGATATGCTTGCAGCCACCAGAAAAGAACCTCGGACTGCTACCCACCAGGAGAGGAAGACACCCCACCTGAACCCACTGGAAAAAGGTATGGGAACACAATATAAGAATGCATTCAATAGCAGGGCGGTGGTGGCACACGGGTCCCTGTACTTTTGAGGCAAGACTGGACAGACCTCTTCCAAAACAATATAGAAAAACCCTGGCTCATGAAACCAACGACAACAAAAAAAGAATGCATTCAACAATAGGGAAACCAATATGAGGACACCAGAGTCTAGGTACTCTATACCGGCAAGCCCTCAACATCCCAACACAGATGAAACAGAAGAGAATGAGCTTACAACCAACTTCTTGAAGATTATGATAGAGACCCTAAAGAAGAAGTGAGAAAATCCTTGAAAGACATGCCAGAAAAGGCAATCAAAAAAGTGCAAGAAGTAATTCAATCAGTGCCAGGTTTGAAAGCTGAAATAGAAGCAATTAAAAAAAAAAGTCTATAGGAATGCTGTAAGTGGAAAAGATGGGTAAACAACAGGAAATACAGACACATGCATAACCAACAGAACACAAGAGATGGAAGAAAGAAACTCAGGTGTTAAAAACACACTAGGAAAAAGAGATTCATCGACCAAAGAAAATCTTAAGTCCAACAAATCCCTAATACAAAATATCCAGGAAATATGAGACAAAGTGAAAGGCCAAACCAAAGAAAAATAGGGATAGAAGAAGGTGAAGAACAAGACCGCAGAGGTGCAGAAAACAAATGGAACAAAACCATAGAAGAAAACTTCCCCAACCTAAAGAAAGACATGCCAATTAAAGTACAAGAAGCATACAGGCCGAGCATTGGTGGTGTTCGCTTTTAATACCAGCACTGGCAAGGCAAAGGCAGGTGGATCTCTGTGAGTTCCAGGCCAGCGTGGTCTGCACACCGAGTAACAGGACAGCCTACCAAACAATAAGAGAAACTCTGACTGGAAAAACCAAAAAAAAAAAAAAAAAAAAAAAAAGCCTAGATATCACCAAGTAGAGTTGACCACAAAAAGGCCCCTCAGCCCATAACAATCAAAACACCAAACTTACACAATAAAGAAACAATATTAATATCAGGAAGAGAAAAAGGGCAAATAATATAGAAAAGCAAACCTATCAGAGTCACACCTAATTTCTCCATGGAAACTCTGAAAGTCACAAGGTCCAGGAGAGATATTCTTCCAACACCAAGAGACCATGGATGCCAGCACAGACTAGTATATGCAGCAAAGCTATCAATCACTATAGATGGAGAAAACAAGATATTCCATGACAAAGCCAGATTTAAACAATACATACCCACTAATACAGCACTCCAAAAATACTGGAAGGAAAACTGCAGTGCTTGTTGACTTCATGACTACCAAGATTGCCATGGGCTAAGGTGGGCAATTCTTGGTGATGAAACTGTTGTCTATGGAACAAGGCACACTTGAACTCCGCATAAAGCCAGAATGCCTACCGCCATTGCCACCATTCCCAGGACCCCCTTTGATGTTTCGTATGAAGTTCCAGACGTTTTCATAGACAGGTCAAGACGTTTGCTTGTACATTTGGTACATTTGTAACTTTTCTCTTCCACAGGGAAACTCGTGGTGATTCTGAAGACAAAAGGTTTTTCATACTATTATGCTGGTTTGAACAGGTATAGCCCACATGGCCTCATGTTTGAATCCTTCACCCACAGGTCTTCTAGCTCTAGGAGGAGGTCTGACACGAGGCAAGCAGGGACTGACGTCTCATACATGCTTAAGCCATACCTAGTACACAGCTCACTTTCTCCTTCCTTAGGATCAATACATAGTTTTCTCAGCTCCTTCTCAAGTACCATGACTGTCTGCATGTCACTACATTCCCCATAACAAAGACAGTGGACTACATTTCTGAAACTGCAAACAATCACTGAATGTTTTCTTTGAGAAGAGTTGCCATGGTCATGGTGTATCTTCAGAGCAAAATGACCCAAACAAAGATAACTACCACTCTCAGGGTTCTCTCTCCAAAGAATTCTGTAATGTATTCTTTAAAAAAATAAGCACAGGCCTGGAGAGATGGCTCAGAGGTTAAGATCA